TGTTAAAAGGTTGTTTGTGTTTGTGCTATGTAATTGAGGGTGCGAAAGGGTGCGAAATTCGAGACATGGTTGATGGAGAATTACGGTGCGAAAGAGTCATGGAGAAAGGCATTCAGTATTGATATAAATTATTACTGTGGGTTGAGTCCTCAGGGAAAACACATACCAATTGGATTTAACAATTGTGGAGGTATGTGGCTCAGAGCTGATTCTGATTCACATTCACATTCCCGATGTCTGGTCTCATTTTCCCTGAAACTAGTGTGTTCAAACACATTGATATTGGGGGCGTTGCATCAAATGTTCAAGCCACTCCTCAGGTTTTGAGCTATGTTTCGATCAAGCAAATGGTGGATATTCGTTATAGACAGTTTCAGCTGCAGTCATTGAAGCCAGGCAAAAACCATCATCCTCTTGGATTCAATACGCTTTTAATGGGAAACTTTAGATAGATAGATTTGTTATAGATGTATTATTACAGTATAGATTTGATTTTACAAATTTGTTGTAGTGTTGTAGTCACTATACGGATCCTTCTGACGTAAGTAGTACAACATACTAGTACGGAACTATCTCTGCCGCAGTATATGCGAAACATAACTCTTTCAATTAAGAACAAATCACTCGGTAACAAATCACTCTTGGTATGGATTCTTCTATCAAAGAATCAGAAAAGCTTTTACTCCATTGATGATGTTCGTGTGGTAGGAATGGGAAAGGCAACTCGTGATGGATTAGTGCTTGCAAGGTGTTTGAGAAAAGTTTAGAACCAATTTTTTTTTTGTTTTTTTCTGGATTAGTTTAGAGGAGGTTTAAAACTCCCACAATTTCAAACGTTTTCATATGTGACATGCCACGTTAGCGTTTTCATATGTGACATGCCACGTTAGCTTCCATTAATTATTAAAGTTGACGGCAGATATCAAAATTATGGATGGATAATTTTGAGATAATCATTATTTGAAGAAAAGTTTTGAAAGAACCAAAATTGCACGATCGCATATTTATAGGGACTCAGGAAATATTTGACCCTATTTAATATGAAGTTAATTTATAACCGAAAAATAAATAACAGTCATTTTCATAGTAAGTACAAGAAGTTAAAAACTCACTAAAAAAAGCTAAAATAAATATTACCGGATTATCCACTATAGCAGTCACTTTGACGAGAACACGACCAAAATGCCTTCCCTTGAAATGTTGAACTTCAACAAGCAAAAAACAACAAAGCAGTGAACATGACTCTAAAGCTAATCAAAACAAAAATGAAATCAACCAATCTTAACAAACATAGAATGATATAGAAAAGATAAATCTTAATTTTACCTTTAGAAATTGGTTTGAGAAGAAACACAATGTATCAGCAGAATACAAATAACATGTTTGGATTGTTTTTTTAGAAGACTCAGAATCAATTCTAAAGGTGTAAGGAAAAAGGAAAATAAAATTAAACAATAAAGGAATGAAAAGAAATGCCTTGTTGATTATTAGGGTTCAAACTTGTATGATGGTTAGGGTTTGTTATTCTAACTTTGAATAATGGTTACAATATTTTTTTATGGGAAAGATATTTCAATAAGAAGAAGAAACAGGGGAAACATACAAATTAGGCTTCATAAAGGGATGACCTCCAATCCAAATCTTAGAACCATACAATTTCTTCGTCCAACTAAAATTGTGAGCAACATTAAGCACCCTACTTAAAAACATAATTGAGGCTACCTGAAAACTATTCAGAAGTAACCTACAATCTACTGCAATGGACTCGAGGACAACATTTTCCAAAACATAGTTTATGTAGTTCAGGGCATCCGATTGGATGATGATTCTCTCCAGCTTCAGTTCTTGGGCCATGGTGAGTCACCATCTTATAGATAGCATTTCATCCACCACACAACTGAGATAAACCCTTTCCTACTAAAAGCAAGAATAGTTTCCTATGATTCTTGATAGTGCATCCATAGGATACAAAGCCTTCCATGAACACACCTGAGTCAACCTGCAAAACATGAATATTCTTGGGGACAATTTCCAACTCAGAGTGCACTAGCAGCTTTTTCTTAGCGCCAACCTCAGGATTCCATTTGTTAAATTCAAGCACACACTCAAGGGCTACCTCAGCCACCCTAATCGGATTCAAACTCTTTTGTTGGTACAATTGTAAGTTACGAGCATTCCAAATCTTTTGGAGTAGAGAACACAACAATTGGACGCTCAACATGTCACCATAAGTCAACAAACTCAACAACCATTCATTGATCTCCATATCAGACGAAACACGGTAGCTAAGAATAGAGGAAAATGAAACTTGTTTTGCAAACTCGCATTGTAAAAAGAGATGGTATGCAGATTCAACAACATAATGACAAAGAGAACATGAAACATCTAACCTGATACCTTTCTTGAGGAGGTTATCTTTTGAAGGCAAAATATTTTTTTGCTAATCTCGAAAGAAAGTTATGGGTTCTGGTGTGAAGAAGGGACCTCCAAATTTCCTTCCATAGCCTCTGATAAGGAATGCTCTAAAGACCTGGGTTTTTGGCTACTTTCTTCTATATACTGATGTGGTATGCTGATCGGATAGAATATTCTCCGCTCTTTTCATGGTGTCAGATTAACATGTCTTTAGTGTGCCTGAAAGATAGAGGAAGGCTTACAATTTGTTTTGCTTCCTCCAGGTCGAAACTAGCGGAGATCAATTCCCTCTTCCATAAGTCCAAGTCACCATCAATATGATCACTCACCTTGGATTCTCTATCTATACCTCTCACGGAACCAAGGAGCTTGAAGTCAATATTATCAGGGAGCCAACTATCTTTGCAAACAAACATTTTCTCACCATTTTCAATCCTCTAATAAGCTCCTTTTTGTATTAACGCTCGAGAACTTAGGATACTTCTCCAGGCGTAGCTTGGTGCGAAACCAATAGAACTCTCTACAATGGAACTCCTAGGGTAATACATGCCTTTGAAAACTTTCCCAACCAAGGTGTGATCACCTGATAATAGACGCCAATATTGTTTCCTCAGAAGGCTTGTGTTGAATTCACTAATGCCATGAAAATCCATTCCTCCTGCTCATTTCGCTCGCGCCAGCTTCTCCCAATTCAGCCAATGAACTTTCCTTTCCCCATTCTTTGAACCCCACTAGAACTTTACCCAACGTTGCATCTATCTCATGACAGGTTGTCTCAGGAAGCTTTTAGCAGCTCATGATGTAACTCGGAATTTCCTTGGCAAATGCTTTGATTAAGACCTCCTTCCCTACTCTTGACAGAAATTTCTCCTTTCACCCTTTTATTTTCTTCCAAACCCTTTTAATAACCATAGCAAATATGTCTCTTTTTGATCACCCGAAGACAATTGGCAAACTAAGATACTTGGAGTGGCTCAAAACAGTCTTTACTCTCATCCTTGAACGAATCATATCTTTATCTTTCTCACGAACATTTTGACTAAAAGACACCTCCGATTTATCTAGGTTCACCACTTGGCCATATAAGGTTTGATACTCTTGAAGGGTTTCCAGAATGCGTTATGCTTCATGAGAGTTTTCTCTAGCAAAGAGTAAATTATGGTCAAAAACATCAACAACATGTGTCACCGGTGTTGGAGCATTTTGAATGTCCTCCCACACACCCTTATCTTATGAGTTCACATAAATTTGCATATAAAATTTCTAATAACTATAGTTTTCTCTCGTGAAGTTTGGGCTGTTTTGTAATCCCCTTTAGATTCGTACATCATTTTCTAATAAGAGTTTCGAAGCACAAAATTAATCAAGCTCTTGATGCCAACTGTTAGACGATGACTTATCTAGAGGGGGTGAATAGATCACCAAGTCAAAAATCCCAATTAAAATGGTAGTTTAAAAAGAGTTTTTGAAAGGAGTGCAAGCGGAAGATTTTTAATATAGAACGATTAAAGTCGTCTATACAAACCTAGTTATTGGAACTCGAATATGCAATAAGCCAAATGAAATAAAGTGAATAAATAAGATGAACTAAAATATTTGAATCAATTCACACAATATTAATAGTTCAACACAATGAACTTAGTAACCTACTCCCAATGAATTAAGCAAAAGATAATGAACAAAATCATTTGTCAAACACTTGGTGCGCGTTTGACTTTTTCAGAATTTTTTCTTTGAGTTGCGTTGATATGAAAATGCATTTATAATCAAAATGTTTATAAGATAATCAACACACTACTTTAAACAAAACAATCACAGAAAAATTCTTACGAGTCGATCGATCAAACAATGAAATTCAACAAATTGCACAATGAATAAAAGCGAGTAAAGAGATAAGACAGAGTGACACAAGAATTTTTTAAGGCCGCTCACCACTTCGTCCTCGCTAGTGGTTACGTCTTCCCTCAATTTCAAATGAAATTGAGAATTCAATTCTTACTTTGCAAAAATAGAATTACAAGAGAAGTGTTCAAGAGCAACCCCATAAACCCAATCGTTTATTGTTGATTCAACCCCTTATTTTCCTTTGATCTTGAGCAAGACCAAGAACGATAAATCCAAACTATTCACCACTTAAGCTTATCCTTTGTGAGAATCCAAATCTCTAAAGCCTTCACTCGAGCGAATCCTAATGTGATGCTATCAGCCCAAGAACTTCCAATTCGATATGCCGTTCTCGCACTGCTTCTTTGCGAGTTACCAAAATTTCAAAGCTTTCACTTGGCTGTAATCTTCTACTGAAATTCTTATACCAAACCCTTAAATATATCAAAGATCTTGGAGGACAAACCCTAGGTTTTTCCTGATGAAACCTGTTCTGGACTGGGCCCACCTAGGCCCAAAGTGCAAATAAAGGCTCAGATCCAAGCAGCTCCTCGGGGAATTCCCACAATCGGACCATCACCGAACATGCCCGACCACAGACTACAGTTGTAACGCCCGCCGTTGCCCTCGACGAGCAGCCCCCCGACCAGGGGACTTCGAGCTCGAGTCCAGCTCGAGCTCCCTCCCCGTAGGGCAGATTCTGTCCACTATAACCGTTATGAATCCTCAAAGCTCCGGAAAGACCGCGTCTTCGTCCTTCCTCATTCTTCGCAGAGCACCATCCGGGGGGGGACCACGTGCGGGACCCCACTACACACGTAGAACCTGGAAGTTCCCTTATTGGGCTAGTTCTGGTCAACCCAATGAGGGGACCTTGGCCCAGCGTTGGGGGCTATAAATACCCTCTGTTCCAAGAGGGTCAGGTATTCATCTATCACACACCTATATACTTTTTGCCTGCCCATTCCGTCTCTCATTTTAGCATCGGAGTGTCTTGCAGGTACCCCCCCCCCCATCTCACTCAAATCTAGTTCGAGCCGGCTGTGGCGGTCCAAGTCTGATCCAATAAGATCAGTGGCGCCGTCTATGGGAATCTAGCTTCCCCGTCTTACAAACTCTTAAAGACCAAAGCTAAAAACCATCTTCCACCGTCATGGCTAACCAAACTCGGGAAGACCAGAGCGTCCGCATCGTTGATGCCAACAACAACCTCGCGGACAAGAACGGAATCCCCGGCAACACCAGCAACCCCGACCATAATACACTCCCTGGGGGCGTCATCCCCGGGCCCTCAGGCCACCGCGACGGCGCCACGGCCTCATCTTCTTCAGTCCCCCCTCCACTCGAAGAAGACAATACAGCTCTCCCAGAATATCTAGCCGCCCAATTCTGGGAGGTCCCTGTCCCCGCTGGGGCAGATGCCACGACCAAAGCACTGTTCGCGGCGATCAATCAGACCAACTACCTCATCTTTGCCCAGGGGGAAATATTGAGGGCGCTAGAGGACGACAGAAGACCCGCGAGGAGACATAGGAGGCCTCAGTCCCCACCTCCTCGAAGAACAGAGGTACGTCTCCCATCTCCCCCACAGAGACAATACAGAGACACCTCCCGAAGCCCTTCACCCCGACAACCGGGGAGACGACCCCCCTTGGAGAGGGAACCAATCATTGAAGCCGGGGGGCGCAATCACGGCCCCTTACAGCAAGAAAGAAGACATCCTGGAGACAGGCACGGAAGGACGAACCAACGAGCGCACCGCTCGAGGGACATCCAACACGATCAGGACCGTCGTGCCCAACAATACCTCAGGTCCCCGTCCCTTTCCCCAGAACAAAGTGATGAGGACGACCCCCGCGGTCCCCTATCACAAGCCATCATGGAGGCTTCAATCCCCCCAGGCATGGAGAAGCCCCCTCACCTGAAGGAATACGATGGAGTTGCCGACCCAGTCGACCATATAGACGGGTTCGAAGCTATGCTGCACTACCATAACGTTGGGGGACCCATCAAATGTCAGTTGTTCCCCACAACCCTCAGGAAAGCAACAATGGATTGGTACAAGGGTCTCGCCCCGGGGTCAATCACCTCGTGGAGAAACTTGAAAAACCAATTCATAAGCTCGTTCACCGCGTCACGGCGACACCCAAAGACCGAAGCGGCGCTCGAGGCTATCATCCAGAGGCAGGATGAAACCTTGAGAGAATTCATCAACTGCTTCAATCGTGAAGCCATCCAGGTCCCCTGCGCGGACCACATGAAAAGATACTTGCTGGAGAGGGGACTCCTCCCCGGCACAGAGTTCAGAAAAGCAGTGGGCATCGAACCGCCCCGAACGTTCGATGCTCTCCTCGAGAAGGATAGGGCCTATATGGATTACGAGGAAAGGGAAGTGGCCAACAGAGCCCGTGACCCCAGAACTCGTGGATCCAGCAGCAACCCGCGCCAAGAGCCCGTTCCTCCTCGACGAGCCGGGGAGAAAAGAAAGGACGACAAACCCCGAGAAGTCCGAGAACAACGAGGACCCTCAGGGAGTTTCACATGATACACTCCGCTCACGGCTTCCCGCGAGCGCATCTTGGCGGAATGTGCCAGCATGGATTTCAAAGATGGCGGTGTCAAGCGCCCCCGACCAGCTCCTGCCAAGCCCGGGGTGCATAAGAGCAAATATTGTCAGTACCATAGGAGCCATGGTCATTTGACGGAGGACTGCGTCCACCTCAAGGACGCCATCGAGACCCTCATAAAAGGGGGGAGACTCGCCTAATATCGGCGAAACGATGCTCCTCGTCGCGACGCCTGGGAGACAAGAGAGCCGGAGGAGGATGCCCGACCATCTGACGAGTCAGTCCCCATCCACACCGCCTTCTCCGTCACAAGACCTGAGGACTTCTACGTCCCCGAGCACTTACAAGAGTCGTTATCAACGCACAGCAGGTGGGAGCACTTTCCCTCTGCCATGGTCATAAATGGTGGAGGATTCAACGACCTAACTATAAATTTGGCTAAGAGGAAGCTGGATGAACTGGTTGACTCTGCACCTCCTCAGATGGTGACTTTTGAAAGGGTGAAAGGTAGGTCGGAGCCTATCACCTTTTACCTCGAAGAGCTCCCCGGAGGGTCCCCCAATGCGGTCATTCCTCTGCTAATAAGAGCGAGAATGGCTAACTTTGACGTACACCGCGTTCTCGTCGACGAAGGAAGTTTCGTCGATGTAATGTATAGTCAACTATTCCGGACCCTGCAGCTCGACGACTCGCACCTCTCACCTTATGTGGGGTATGACCTACATGGCTTCAATGGCTCGACCTCCAAACCTTGGGGGTACATCGAGCTCATGGTTACCTTTGACGAGGGCACGGAAACGAGGCAGGTCAAGGTGCGCTTCCTCGTCATCGACTGCCCGTCCCTCTATAACTGCATTCTGGGAAGACCAACACTGGCAGAACTGACTGCGGTACCCTCTACCGTCCACTTGAAGACAAAGTTTTACACCAAGAGGGCACGGGTCGCCACCATCCAAGGGGACCTG